TAAATCTGCGCTGGACGTTATCCAAAGCAATTCTATCTGTTTTACCTAAGTGGCTATGTATGATCGTGCAAACTGGGTCGCACCATGAGTTTAAATGATTCAACCTGTGTTTGGGATAGTGAAAATGACATAGTGACGTAGCTTGTTAGTGGTTTATCGGTCGATAATCTGACATTCTATCTCGTTTCGGTAAACTTATGGTATTTTTCAACTGAGACAGATAGCAAGTAGGTTTTGTGACCGTGTAAAAATATTCAACATGAGCAGATACATGTTTTTACCACCTAGCCTTATAGCTGCAGGGGAATACCATCAGGTACTGATTGGAAAGTCGGTTTGTTAGATGTTGTAGTCATCTGTACGTTTTTTTAGATTCAGAGGAATGGTACATACTACCTCTTCTGTTTTTCTTGGAAGGAGAGAGGATACAGATGGTGCGGTGGTAAACGAGACGGGAAAGTCGGAATTCTTCGAATCACCTATTTGGACTAAATAGTCTGTTACCGTACCGTCGTTTAAAACTAGACTTGGAATTTTGTTTTGCCTTTTCGCATTTCTTCTGAGTAATTGCATCAAGGCACGGGCTTTCTCTGTATTAGTGATGGCTAGGGTTTAGTGTTCGTTTCTGTAAGGTTTCGTGTATTTGAATTAATGTGATGATGTCTTTGTTTTTGCAGTGCAGTAATCTAAACTTCTTAAGCTTAGAAACGATCTCGGATTAGCTTTTATGTCGACCTTTAATAGGGTCTGTGTTCACCTTCGTCGTAGGTGCTAGAATGTCCGTGCATGTGATGATATTTTTCGCGAATTCGCCTGCGGCTATGGCTGAATCTGATGTGGAGAAGAATCGGTCCCAATGCAGGCTCCCAAACAGTAAGGTGTATTCGGGATACTGGCTTCCTAATTTCTCTGGTCTTTATAGATGGTCTGATATTCATGCTGCAGAGCACCGTATTGTGGTCACATCCTCATAATGGGTTTTCAATTAATACACAGACAGATGGAATACCCATGGTGAAAATCAAATCTAGTATATTATCTAACCTAGTAGGTTGTTTAACGTGTTGAGTCCAGCGATTGGTGCAGACATATTGTGTCATTTCCGCAAATTCCCCAGTTGCTGTAGGCCTGTGCGACATGCAATTTATATATTGCAGATTGAGATCTCTGTGATGGGGGCTGGTGATTGGAAATGCTGTAATGCCCATTGAACGTCACAGGCCAGACCGATAGGCAGTGAGCATGTTGAGGGAAGCAGATTGGTCAGCCAATCAGGAAATAGTTAGCCGCTGGTCGCATCCAGCCTGCAACCATCCACTGAACGTGCAAGTGACCAATCAGGCGCCAACAGACGAAGGAGCGCATTCTCGTGCACCCTTGAGCCAAGGCTTGTGGCATTGGACCGAGGGAAGAAGCGCGCGGGCCCAATCCCGCCAATCGTACATCCACTAAGAAAGTCAAGGTGGTATTAAACAGAGTGAACGTGGCGAACAAGTATAAACCAATAGAAAAGGAGTCAGCGACACAATGCAAATAACAGGGATGAGCCATTGAAACGGACTGTTGTAATTAGTGTATATACTCTTGAAATATTTGAGCGTAATCATAATAAACGACTTCGTGATCGCGGTCTAGTCTCCTTGCTTCCCGGAGGGCAACACGACAATCTCCACATAGGAATTTGTACTTGTGTGGATCGCTGGAGGCAACGTTAATGGCACACATTAACTGCAACATACTTTTTATAACATCCTTGATTATATTTCAATGGAATTATACATACAGTATTCAGTATTCATTGCATGTATATCTGTTATGTTTAAATTCTTGGAGAAAGTACTTGTGCCTCATATTTTCACACGTACACAGGCACACTGTGTATACCAGTTTGCCTATAAACCCAACCGGTCCACACTAGATGCTGTGTCGTACTTAATGTATTTGGTATCATCTTTATTGTATGAAAAATGCCGATCATTGCGCCTCTTGTTTCTTGATTATTTGAATTTTTTCAGCAGCATCAACAGATCGATCCTGCTCAAATAGATGCTCAGGAGTGGTGTTTAAACAAATGTTTGCAGCTTGATAAACGACTATTTCACAAACTGCACCTACTCAGCTCAGCTTAGCGGAAGAAAGTCCTACACACTGCTCTGTTTTCTTTAGATATCAAAATCTTCATGCACGTCCAACTTTATTTCATGCCAAGTTTGCAGACGTTGTTATGGGATGTATTGCTCCAATCGTTGAGACATCTACTCTTCAGTGTGATGTGGATAATTTGTGCTCTGGTCATCGTCCCTGTCTCTAATTTTGAACACTTATGGATGTTGTGGCGTAACCTTCTCTTTTCTTTGGACTGACAAGATACAAGCTGTTTCAAATGGCATTTCTTTACAGGACCTCAACTGTCAAATAACTTGCAGTTTTTGATCCCCAAACTTATTTTGGTCTGCCCATGTCGCGGAGCCTCACAAGATTAGAAACCAACCATTGTTTGCTCTCAGAGTCGTGATCCGATCCTTAAATCTGTAACTGCCTACATTTTTCCTCAGTGGCTTTACTGTTCTCCAGTACTCAAAAAGATTACTTACTGTACGGTTGTTGAAACTTTTCTTCATATGCACTGGACTATCTAGACAGGCTCTTGTTGATTTTATTGTCAACAAACATGCGGGCGCCGGTACTGGTTTCTCCTTCAAAGTCCTAAACAACTCTTTCCACCCACTACCTGGTATCCTATCGAAAGTGGCACCTGTTTTTTCTACACACCTTAAATTTAGAGTCTTATTTTCTTGTGCTGCTTACCACAATTCTATCCTCCCGTACTTGTCACGATTACTTGTTGACCCAACAAAACTCACTAGTATGATGCGTATTTGTTTGCTTGAGTTATATTTTCACACATTTTACATTAGACACCTTATTTGCTTTTATCCATCAATTGCATGTATTTCCCCATTCCCAGTGATAGTGTAAAATGTTGAAAATGTTCCTGTCCAGGCAACATAAAGCCTGTTTAGAATTGACTTGACTGAACACTGGGCCTGGGCCTACTGTTTTCCAATCCGTATCAAGATTTTGTGATCCGACGAACATATTTCGAAAGATCTGTTCAATGTGATTCTGGACACAACTGCTTGTACACGGGCTGGTTTACATCACGGCACTCACGAATCGACTTGGTAGCATGGGCAGCAATGCTAAATCGAAGCACGAAGCACCGGTTGTTCTACTGGACAGTCGACTGATTACTCATCCTGTAGGCCACATCCGTCATCGTTCCACTTCGGTCTCTCCAGGTGGCGGGCTATAGGCTGTCATTGGGCCGGCAGATATGGAGTACACAGGGATTCTACCTCGGACGGTAAATCGTTTCCAGCCTACCTTAGAGTGCTCAGTCTTTAAGTGACGCGAAAAGTGATACCTGTGTCATTTGAGTAAACAGAGATTGTTTTTACTGCGCTTGCTAAAATGTATTTCTAATCAGTCCCCTGGGTGGAAATTTCTTGGCTAATCGAACGCCACATAAGGCTTGTTACATTACACTGCATTGCGTGCGTCTAACACTAATTAAGCTACTTATTTGACGCTGCGTTGCACTACGAGCGTTACTCTCGTGCTTACAGTGGACACCGATCTGCTGACACCCTGCACAGTGCGGACTAAACTTTCTAGCCTATAGGTAAAGCTGGTGAGATCTGAAAATCGAACTAATAGGCCACGAATAACTATCGCCAGCCGTTCCATCTGATTCGCAAATTATCCGTGAATAATCATGAGCGGCAGTGGAACCTCCGTTCACGCGAAGCAGCACCATCTTACTCACTAGGCACAGTACTTGTAACAGCATTTCACTTGTCCCCTTGACCCACAGTCACTTCATATCCAAGTGCCCCAAAATGAACTATGGCCGGTTAGTTTAGTGACTCTGTGTACGTTTAGGATCGGAAATGCGATCATGTCTACCAATTCTTCACTGCTAATCCGAGTCCCCTCGTACTGGTAATATTGTGTGATGTTGACATTAATCCCCCTTAAAAGTCGTATCACTTTTCGGGCAGGTGTAGAATGTGACTACTCTGACCGACTAGAGTGGATTGATTCGAGTGGGACTATTAAACACTTGTGCTACCGAATGAGATGGTTTTCTCATTGGGTCGGTTTTAACATCTTGACAACCATGTAAAGCGATTATATGGGCGATTCACTTTAGTTGATCTACGCAATACTGCAGTAACTGTCGTACTCTCCATCTATGACTTATGTGGCACATTTCGCTATTCCAAGCAATAATTCAATATTCAGCCATCGGCTTAGGGAGATATTTTTATCGTTTACACTTGACATCAAACATGGTGCTTCTTGTCATATGTTGCCCGGGGAGGGGGACCACGCCCCCTCTTTACGCCACTATTCACCTACATACTTTCATTGACTTCATCACACGAAGCTATCCATTAGTCGCCTAGAAATGCACTTTATATCCACCAGCTGTCATCCTGCCAACTGTTTAGCCATGCGCATTATGCCGACCCATCAAGGGTTGACTCGATACTACTTTCGGGATAACGGTCACGGCGGTTGAATGATTGTCAGTAGTGCATACGCTACACTATATCGCTCTTTGGTATTCATGCGCAATGATTACCATTATCATCAGAAGGTGCTAACCACTTCCCATTGGAGTGAAATAGCGATCCCATTCTCTTCGACTTAGGAGCTTTGGCTTTGGTGAGGCAAACAAGACCGAATCAGCCATCTAGAGTTCTGTCAAGCAACCGTCAAGTTGCGGGCTTCATGTGCCTTCTCAGCTTCTTAATGAATCTATAATTTTTCACCTGAACAATCGGAGCTCCTTTTGGCTTTACAACTTTATTTGCCCAGTTTTTTTAATTTTTGCTTGAATTTTCTCTGGACGGATCACTATTTTATGTGCTTTTGTTGCAGTCATGCCATCCATATTGTACTTCCGTTCAGTATTACTGCTTCATCCACAGATCATGTCCGGCCTAACGACCAGATCCGCGTCAAATTCATCGACTGCCGCTTTTCGCCGATTAGGCTGTTCAGAAAACGTCAGCGACCTACCAATTCTAGCCTGCTTGACATTTCCGGCTCATCCAAGTAGCAGTCGCCTGTGCTACATTCTCAACGAACTTAATTCTGTCGGAAGAGTCAGTCTGGAGTCTCCCGAGGAACATGCTTGCGAGATGATGCGATTGCGGTTGCGTCTTTACATACGACGTGTTCTTGCATTGGTACGTTCGCACGATTCGTAATTGTACTAGCTGTATCAAATGTACGTGCGCCAGTTTTGTTACCACGAGGCCGTGTATCTGCCTTCTATAGTTTTGCCTAATCAGTAGAGATTTACGCCACACGTCGTAGTGTACCCCTCCATGCCGTCTTACAACGCTTATACTGCGTGTGACACACCCAAGTACCATTCAAAGACTTACCAATCAGCCTCCTCGATATTGATGATAAAAGCACCGGAGCTCCATGAATGCATCTTCCATTCATCTCCGCTGCATTTCATGGAGACTGTTGTAAGTTTGCATTTGCCACGCTTCTGTGTTTTCGGGTTCCCTCGTCTAGTGAGATTCATAGTTACACCATCTAATCGCAGCGCCACAACGTTGGAAGCAGTATTTCGAAGGAGTCTCGTGGGTGTGAAATGACTGCGGTAGGAGGCGCATTTCAAGACTACCAAGAAACGAGGTTGAATACCAGGCAATAGTAAGAGACTCAGCCGTAGATGTGCATGCATTAGACACGGGACACCAGATAGACCTCGAAAACGTAGAGGTCATTAGGAGGGGTATCCGATCAACCACTCAGCGGTTGATTGCTGAGGCGGTGGAAATTACCAAATCTGACGACTGCGTGAATAGAATGGAGGGGGTAGAACTCCCTAATGCCTGGCGGGCGGTCTTAAGCCAGCCAGCTTGACGAGCATCGGTGCGTGGATCAGATTGGAAAGTGCAAACCGACTCCCATTGTCAACGCTATAGGCTTATCCGTCATTGTCCTGACGCACAAAGGAACCCCTGGACTATTCCCACTGTGATAAAACCACTTGAGGTGGCATCACGAACTGTTCTTGTAATGACATCATGGCTCAAGTCTCGAGTAACGCGGTTGTCGCCCCTGGTCGCTATAAAATCCCACACCAATTGCACACTGATTCACCTGGTCTGACGACTCTCTCGTGTCGAGGGCGAAACGTTACCAAACTACTATACCAACCTATTGTTTCCAAAACCTCTCTGAACTCATGACTACTCGATCGGTTCCAAGTATCTTCCAAGAATTTGAGACTGCGGTATTAATTTAACATCAGTGCAAGTTGGTCGCTTGGCTTGGAGTAACTATTGCATAGTCACAATTGGGTTGAGGGGATTGTTGTGTTCTCCCAGCTAGAGTATACAGGGAGCATACAGGCGAGGCGAATAAAACAGTTCTCTCATCCCCATCCCGAGCTGCAGGTATTCTCAATAATTTGGGGTGGCCGCATTGCTTGTTGCAAAGAAAAAGCTTGCGCACTGATTGACTCATGCGGTTTACTCTACAGAACACTTTGAATTGGCTCTCACTCATTATCCTTATGTAGCATTGAGCGCAGCTGTATGAGCTCGTCGGTTGCGTAAAGACAGTTTGCGATGGCATCCTTCAGACCACTATTTCATCGGACAACCGACCGATGGCCCAAACATCAGTCGATAAATGCAAGCTTCTTGCATGACAAACGCCAGTTAATGAGTGGTTATCATTGCGCCTAAAGGCAGTGAATTCAGTTGCCCTAACTCCACTACAAAAACAAAAAGATGCCGGTAACCGAAGTGAGAAAAGCGGTCTATTTAACCAAAACGGGCGAAAGAGGTTTAAGCCCTTTGAATAGTTATGGTTACGAAATTAGGGGGCGAATGCAAGGGCGCTTCAGGCTTCATATTTTTACCAAATCCGATGGAGTTCTTGACAAATCGGTTGACTGATCCCTAAGCCATAAACTCAAGGACGACATGCACCAATCCGATACGGTCTGTCAGCAAGTTTCCTCACGCTTCTTTGACATGTTTCGGACAGATATTCACGAGGCCACATATAATTATTTACAGCGGGTCAAAAGTGCCGGTTAGCAGATGCGCAAGATGCATGCTTTTATCAACACCAGTGTTCAATGGTTCCTTTAGTGTTTCTAGTGCGCAGACGTCGTATCCGTTATCCGTGCATGAAAGCTGGCCTCATTGTATTAGTATACACTTACGTGCCCCAAAGTTTCACTGCCTGCTTGTTTTGCTAACAATTCACAGGGCTGAAAGATTCCTACCGATTTATTCCTATAAGCACTTCGGTTATTCGACATAGGGGATTGTGTATCTACCCATAAACATGAACCGCCTAGTCATTTCAGGTGGGGCACAGTAATAATAAAAATAACTAAATTGTTGTGGCTGTTTGTACTTCGAATTTGCTTGGCAACTCTGTAAATCAGCCTACTTGGCAGCGTTCGCATATCAACTAGAAGTGATGCGAACAGAACCAACCATCTGAGCATATTTCAGTTGTATTTCAAGCCTAGGATCCCATTTCATCGTGAGTCCATGGATTTTCGATCTAAACGAGCCTGACGTCGTATGATAACTTGCTTACTTCCGATTAACTGGGCTATATCGCTGGGTGCTCTTCAACACATTGACAACCACTTGATAAATTAACCAATGGTCATAGGTCAATCTCCCTCGGTTGCTCCTTCAGACTGGGAGCTGCAAGTTGAGTTGTAATCACATTTGGACAGTAGTGAACCGTTGAGGTATTTCATTTCGTTGCCACTATGCTTTTGGATCAGAGACTTTAGGTGATGGCCGTACTCGTTCTCCTATGTAAATTCTGACGCTCTGGCTGTGCGACAGCTCACGTACAGCTGTGATCTCCTCTAACCTCAGTTTCATTTTGCATTAACCACCTCGCAATTTCAACAGTATCCACTTATTTTCTGCAAGCATCAGAGTGGGTAAAAGAAAATAATCTCCTGTTCATACCTGTCTTTTACCACCTATTTTTATCTGGTATTCCTTGTGATGCTCATTCTTGTCACTCCTGTTGCAATCCCCGGCGTAGGATACGTTAGCCGCACCACCTGCACCCGTGTTAACGCGGTCCAATACTTTGTTACCATCTAAAACCTATTATCTTGCTACGCTACCTGGTTTTTTTTGGCGACGTCCAACTTTCACATACCATTGTAAACGGAAATACGCGTTACTCCGGTAGACAAAGGCACATACACTTACACCAACCGTTCTCGGTATTGAGGTGTTCTGCGCCTCCAAGACTGATTTCCATGAACTGCATGCGCTCAGTTTGCCCTCAACAAAGTAAGAAGAAAATGAATATTTCCCAAACGAGGGGCTGTGCTGACAAGACGATGAACCAGGTTTTACAGGTTTTCAAGTGCGTACTGGGAATAATAAGTTTTCGCCCACCTGCTTTCCATCTGCAATGAATTTCTGCTAGTTGATTGGTTTTTCGCAAATGGCTCTGCGTGCAACCCATATCTGTTCGGACAGAAGAGTCAGATGTCTATGAAGAAACTTATCATCATCCCGAATATCGTAAACACTTCGGAAGCCGACATCTCAGCGCGGGATGACCGAGGAAAGTGGTCGCGTTTCGAGTCTCGTATTCAAGTGGTGCATTTAAATGATCTAGCTGAATATACAATGAATTGTAATTTCGGACTTCTCCGAGCATCGAGGATATCCGATTGTATGGTTGTGTATGTGTATTTGTGCATACTAGTGTCGCTTGCGCTCGTTTCTCTTATTCTTTGACATATTTAATGCGTACCGGGTAGGTCGTCATTGTCCGACAAGTTGTTTTAGACGGCCGCGGGCTGTTATATTCCTTAGTAGCGTGGATGAAGGTGGTAGAACTCCAATGGCACTACATTTTCGTCCTTCACTTTGTTGTCTGCGAATCGTGGATTAATAACTCGTGTCAACGGAGGTACGTGATGGATAGGTATGGGGTAACTAACTTAGATACCGCTGTTGTATAAGGCAGCTGCGGTGACCGTTTGGAAATTACGCCACGACCGATATAGTGTGGTGTAGTATTTTGATGTGACCTTCCTGGAATATTGTTATGGCGCACAGAGCTAGATTCGAAAGTTTGACCTTACACCTGCCGAAACGCCAGCGAATCACAAGACTGGTTATGTTCAAATAAATGGCTTTTAACTGCCACGTGAATGTCCATGAGACTGACTTATTCCCCTCCCAACCGATATATTACTCCCGTCGCCAGAAATATGTTGTGGTTGCAGCTGACGGTATGGATGACTTGCTGCTAACGCTTAGCTGACCATCGCCAGATATATGTTGTGATGCCCCCAGAAATTTGTTGTGGGTTCCGCTGATTTTACAGATAACCTGTCAGAATCTATTGTGTCGCCCCCAACCAGTTCGACCCCGCACGGAATGGGAACGCAAAGATCGGCCGGACCGATTCATATTGTATGAAGGCATAGCGCAATAAATAGGTTGTAGGCAACTACTAACACGACAATATTGGAGATGCTAATTAATATTAATCAACACAATTCAAGACGGTTCAATTTCATTGTCTAATCCCACATAGAATCGCGTTTTGATCTCTACTGGAGTTCGATCTCCAATTGTAGATCGAGCCACACTTTCGCCACGCTTCTCGGCTTGAACGCTGAGTGTAAGCTATCACCCCGTATCAGGGTGACTTTAAAATCACCACACAAGGACAACTAAATGTATCCCATAGCACATAGACCGTTGTACAATATCACACTCTAGTCTTGCCATGTCCCTGTGACTTCCGTACCTTCGGCGCTATGATTCGCGATTACTTAGTAGGCCTCGGACGATTAGGGTCCAGCTGACCTTTCAGTAACAGACTGGTGCCATATCAGCGGCACAGTTAACGAAAGTTATCTAGGGTCCATCCCTCCTACGTTGTGCTAGCCTTTATCCCTTGTTCTCGCTGCTGCTGATAGCTTATATCTTCCACTTCGACGAATAGTACACCAGCTGATTGGCTGATACATCCTCTTTCAAACTGCCCATCTCAGACCAGAGAGAGATTAAGTTGGACCGATTATTGTGAGTTTAGATATGAGGCGTATTTTACGATGATGCATGTTCCGTCCCTCGGTAAGGATTATCGGTGCTTGAATTCTAGTGGCTGAGTACCCTGCTAACACTGTACGAAACAGCAACTCTTTCAGATATCGTAAAAGCTTGATAGTGTCACGTAACGTAATAAGTCCGGACGAACTGAAACGAAGCAGTTCCATATGCCCAACGTGCAACTCATGAACACCAAATTCTGAATTACCTCCGCTTCTGGTTTTATCACAGTCCCGTCTTCTGAATATAAATCAGTGAACTAGTTCATCATGTTTCTTATTGATATCATCGCATTTGTGTTCATTTTTGCTTTGTTTTGTGCAGCTGGAGGACCCGAAACGGTATCCAGTGTATTTGGTCGGATTTGGAATTGGCTGCATTTTGATTCTTCTGGCCCTGTTACATATGCAGTCAATGGACATTCGCGGTGAGCGGCCGAGGATTACTGGAGTGATCTGCATTGGCATGCCTTTGATTGGGCTGAAAGGCGCCAGAGGTTGTTCCACAGATCCTTTGCTCGGACTGCCTGAACTGCCGATGCTGTTCATAATTGGTTCAAAGAGCCGCTTGGGTGGACAGAAGCAAATGTCATACTTCAGAAATCAACTCATATTAGCCCAACAACGCGCCCGCGAGTCTAGCAGTGATTTCGATCGTACAGACGGAATCCGACCTCATGTGTCCACCATACTCAATTCAGGAAGGGTAATCGTACCTGACAATACATCACGAAGTTGGCGAAATTCGTCTCTGATACAGGTAACGACGGTCGGAGGAGCGGATCACTTGTTACGCCTACGACCGTCCTCTTGCGCTCGCCGGTGCCTCACGCAAGAACTTGTCGACAAACGCATGGTAGTAAGTGTACTCTATGTTAGTTGGACACAGATGAAAGAATCGTTTTATGCTTACGTGCACGTGATCTGCCACAGTGGAACCGCCACCAAATGACGTAGCAGTTTTAGTTTGACTTACACTTACTGACACTGGCCTACGCTGCGATTTTTCCTCATAGTATCTCATGTCCTAAGATTACTGATTTGCAATCTTATTTGATTTCGCTTTACGTTGTTATGTGTAATACTTTTTCCCCTGAATCGAATGCATTGGTCACAAAATGATTGCGTTTTCCTATTTCCGAACGAATTCCCAGTCCCCGTGAGATTGCACTTCCCAAGTGCATTTATAGATGTCCGTGTTAGAGAGTTCAGTGGTCCAAAGTCAGATAAACTCTATCCCGACATGCTCCTTAGAAAGAGGATTTGCTTACCCCTTTCTTCATGAGTCCTGAAGATCCCAACCTAATTGCTGTATAACACGAGTTGATAGTTGATAGTTGGAGAGCACCTTTGTCGCTCACTCTTACTTTTGTCTGTCTCAAAGGAGGTAGTTACTAAAAATAGCGTAACACGAACGTATTACAACTCATCCATTGCTGACAACCGATGCGAATTTACCATCTGTCACGGTAGCATGATATATCTCAACTACAAAAACCCCAAAGATAACGTTTTGCTAGCTTTAACCAACTCGAAGCTATGGAAATTACAGTCGTACTTTATACCAGTGCTTTGCCACCAGGCAACCTGCTTAAGGTACTGCGGGTACATTCAAACCTATGCGCAGAGCGGACGTTCAAATCCCATTTGCATGCCAGCAACCTTAAACTCTACGTCACAACTCCCTGGCATAAGGATTTTGCTTGCACATTTCGATTTTCGGGATACACCTAGCCAAAGGTTCACAAGCATATCGCTTTGCTTGAGTGGGACTAAAGGAATTTTGCTTATGCGCGAGTCGGTCCAGGAGCTAAACCGTAGTCCGAAATCGATGAATAATAACAAGGCGTCTTCCACTCCACTGACGAAAAGTATGTATGTTATACTTACTGAACTTGATACATTAGTGTTGAAAGAAGCCGCGTCATTAACCGTTTCGAACTCAATCATTGTTGTGCCGACAGCAACGACTGAGTACCGGCCATTACGTCTGTCTAAACACAAGCTCACCCACAAGAGCATTCATGTCGAATGAGGTACTGGGTACTGTCATGTACGCCGGTTGGCCACATCGCGATCACTTGTAACTAGCTAACTCCAGTTTGACATCGTAGCTTTTGACTTTCGGCGAGTGTATCTTCATCCTTTTATATTACATTCTTGAATCGACCTTTTTCATCTTATCGCCTTTCCGCTTTCCCTCTTTATTACAGTCCAGCTTGTTATGGCGATGACCTCTCTATTGCGACTAGCCAAAAACACCCCCTAGCTTTCTTTTATGAATGAAGTCCCTATGCATGAGCCTGTCTATGGCGCCCACTTGTCCAGGGCGATCACTTTTTGTCCGTCCCCTGAGTGATCGCCTTAGACAGGTTTGACTGTATCTATCTTCGTGCTAGATGGTAACAACCTACACCAATTTTCTACTTTTTTTAGTTACACGGGGCAAAACATTTGAACCCACTGCGCTTCAGTGCGCCGATTCCAGGTTAATGTTTAAAGTAGGCTCCGATCGCTGCCTGGTTCACCGGGTTATACACCGATGCACGCCCGTACAAGTACCGCTGCATGAAACAGCAATGCTGAGTCGAATTGGGACGCCAACTGCTACTGCCGAGCGAGGTGGATGAACCGAATACCACTTGCAACTGTGTCTTATCCCTCTGGAAGGGGTCCTACAAGTGGTCTTAACATGGATGAGTATAAGGCTGACGAGTTTGTTCCATTCGGTGATCACCGCAGCATATGACTAGGGACCACAGAAACGACCACCAGCACTGTAAGATGACAGGTTTTTGACAACAAGAAGACGTGCTATTGAAAAAGAGAATGTTGCAAATCTCTGGACCTCAAGATATAGTTGTTGCTGAAATACAGCTGATCGACTCTCGGGCCCAATGGGTATAACAAATTAGGGAGCAATTCTACCGACCCAATAGGTTACCATCTCAGTATAGATCAGCAGAGCCCACAGAGGACGCTGGCATCACATTCGCTTCGTGGGCAACACCAATCCACCAGTCAACCTAACTGACACTTCGTTGTCGCATAACCATAATCGCTTGGCGAACGAGAAATAGTAATAAAAGGACGGAACCTAGTGTGAAACTTAAACGCCACAAGCAAACATTCAGGACCAATGCACTATATGAGCAATACATGGCTATCCTGCAAAGATAAAGAGGCATTTTGGGGGACAGCATCTGGGATTTTCGCTGTCCCGCCTCAGTATTAACGCGCAGGTAACTTAGCATCAGACACAAACAGTGGGTCCCCTCCGGGCATTTTGTCAAAGCAGTGAGAAGACGTAAGTTACGATATGTCAACGTTTCTATTGTTACCATCAGTCGCAAACACATTACACGCGGAACACCTACACAGTTGTATGTATTCTCAACAGTCTATTAGCTAGACAAAGAGCCAGACTAAAACCATGGAGATAAGGAGATAAGCAAGATTCATGGCGTCATAATCATCGTGGCATGCTAGTTGAAGGTGAGCAACACACTTCAACTAATATGCCGCAGGAAGAATGGAACATTTTGATAAAAAGCAGAACAAACATTTTTAGTTTGTTTTTCACACGCCGCTTTTGTTCTTTTTTTGTCATTTTAATGTTTGTAGAATTAAACATGTGAATCAATACAATAATGTACACAATTCTTCCACTGATTCCGGTTGCGGGCCATATCTTCAAGAGTGCTAAGCCATTGGCACTCCTCATCTTTGGGTCCCCATCCTGGAAGACGTACGGATCCTACAGCGGCTAGACACGACGTCAGCGATTTCATGTGCTGCCGCCAAGTGGATGGCTGACCACCACGCGGTCGCCTCCAGCCAGGTCCTTGAAGAGCGAATAGAGCGCGACGCGGTAGACGTTCAGGTGTCATGCGTAGAACGTGACCGAGCCATCTCAACTGGCGCAACAAAACCAGTTTGTTGAAGGGAATACTCGCATTCCCCAGGACGCGACGTCGAACATCATTACTATTTACTCGATGTTGCCACCAAACACGCGCGATCCTCCTTAAGCAACCGCTATCGAACGCAGAAAGACGACGCATGTCTTCCACGCGAAGCGGCCAGGACTCGCACCCATACAACAATATTGAGCGAACTGATGCACTGTAAACTCGGCCCTTTAGTGAGAATGAGACGTCGCGACGACGCCACAAGTGCCTCAAATTGACAAATGCCGATCGAGCTTTAGCGATACGAAGAGAAACTTCTTTGTTGATAGTGCCATCGGCAGAAATACAGCTCCCAAGGTAGACGAAACTATCTACCTGTTCAAGTTGTGCACCATCGAGAGTGAGTACGGGAGCAGGCGAATGCCAATCTTTGAGCAGTATTTTACACTTCGATGGGGCGAAGCTCATACCATACTTAGATGCTTCAACCGCCAAACGATCCAGAATGAGTTGCATACTCTGAGGATCGTCACCAAGTAAGGCGATATCATCAGCATAATCTAAGTCGGTCGCGCGCTCACCCGGTAGAAGCTCTAGGCCAAAATGTTGGAAACCTTCTAGAGCATTCGACAGAACATCTTCAATTGCGAAGTTGAAGAGGAATGGGGACATAGGGCAGCCCTGTCGCACACCGCTATTGACAGTGAATTGCGAGGAAAGCTTGCCATAGACCCTCACTCTGCCGCATGTATGAAGGTAAAGTGCTCGTAAGATGGCGGTATATTTCTCTGGCACCCCGTTCTTTAGTAAGCAACGCCATAAAGCAGGACGATCAACGGAGTCAAAAGCGGCACGTATGTCTAGAAATGCAATGATAGTGGGCCTGTGATAAATGTGGCGATGTTCGAGGAGCTGGCGGAGCGTGAAGATTTGATCCACACATCCGCGGCCAGGACGGAAACCAGCTTGTTCTTCACGGTAGTATGATTCACGTACTGGGGATAGCCTGCGAAGCAGAATGGATGCCAATAGTTTAGAGGCAACCGAAATAAGACTAATCCCGCGATGATTTGCACATGAAGTGCGAGCGCCTTTCTTGAAAATCGGGATAATGACTGATTCTCCCCAAGAGGAAGGCACTTTCTCTTCATGCCAAATTTTTGCGAACAGCGCGGTCAGCTGGTTGATGATCGCCACACCGCCGTACTTGAATAGCTCCGGAGGAAGTCCGTCTAATCCGGCAGCCTTGAAGCGCTTCAAGCGTCGAATCTCAAGGCCGACTTCCGCTTCGCTGGGTGGATTCAGAGGGACGAGCCAGGGTGGACAACAACGTGTACTGCATGTACTGATGGATGGTGGAGGCCAGTTGAACTGCGAGTGAAAGTGCTCGGCCCAACGGTCCATACGCCTCTGTTGGTTGGTGATCGGAGACTCATCCACCTCACAAATGACCTCACTGACACCAGGTTTCCTGAGGCCAGTGGACCGAATGAGTTGGAAAAGACTGCGAGTGTTGCCAGAGAGGGCAGCGGTCTCCATCTCTAAAGCACGTTCAGACCACCATGTCTCGCGATCCTTGCGTAGGCTTTGCTTGAGCAGCCGGTTGGCAGAACGGCGCCGCTCGTTGCAATCTGATTCCGCGGGTATATCTTTGCGGCGTTCGAACAGCTCCAGAGAACGAGCAGAGATCCAAGCCTTCAATGGGCGTCGAGTTAGGCCGCAGCATGACTGTCCGGAAATGGTCATTGCCTTCCGTATACAAGTCCAGTGTTGTTCCACTTCTTGCGGTGGATTGCAACTGAGTGCATATGCCAATGAAGACTGATAGCTCGCCTGGACAGAGGAATCAGTTAATCTGTTTACATCAATCTTGCGGTGCTTCGTGTTTCGGGATCCTCCAAAACACATACAGATTTTCGCGCAGACCAGAGCATGATCTGAGTCAACG